TGTTCGCTTTAGAGACTCGTTGAGTAACATATCTTTCTTTTAGGGTTTTCGTGAAGAACTCTGACCATCGGGTCGGTGGTCTTGCTGAAGTATGTTTGACATCCCGAGGAATCCAGTCTCTAACGGCTCTTGTCCATCGATTGTCATTCATACGCATTAAGTGTCCAGCCCACCTTATCTTCCACTGTTTGGCATACAGAACGGTATCTTTGATTTTTAATCGTTGACGCAGGTCGGAGCTTCGGATCCTCTACCTTATTTATTTACGTGCCACGGGATCCTCATAGCATCGTCCTTTCGACTGCGCGTTCAATGACGCTGAGTGATTTTTCGTCCTATTTGCGCCGTTACCGGGATTCTAACGCATACGTTAACGCAGTAAGTACCGTTGAGTCGAAAAGCCGGGCATGAAGTCGGGTGTTTCTTGTTTTCCTCAATACGTCATCGATGCTCTTGAAAGTTTCCCAAGCCGCCCGTTTCCTTCCGCTCAACTCTGGAGCTAAGCCGTTCAACATGTTGATTTCCCGACCTAGATAGACAAAACTGGAGCATTCGGAGATATTCGTTCCGCTGAAGGTGAATGAAGCATACGAACCAAATTCGTCCCTCATGAACATCGTTTTTGTGAGATTTGGTCGACGACCAATCTTTCCACACGCTCTATCAAAGTCGGCCAACACTCGTTCTGCCTGGCTGATGTTTGATGTTAAAAGGTCGACATCATCAGCAAAGCGAAGACGGCGTAATTGTCGAACATCGATTTTCACTTCCATATTAACCAATTCCAACCTTCTAGAGGGTGGCGGTAAATAATTTTGGCGAGATAGTATCGCCTTGCCTAACCCCTCTTTTGATGTCGATGTTAATATCGTTGTAAAATGGTGATACCTTGGTTATGAAATTTTTGTACAGCTCACGAAGAATCTTTATGTACTGAGTAGGGACTCCTCGACTATCAAGGGCTTTCATGACTGCTTCTATGTCAACTGACTCTAAGGCCTTCTTCAAAACGATGAAAGTGAGACAGAGCGGTCTTTTGTACTCTTTTGATACTTCAATGAGTGTCGTTATCGTGAGGCTGTGGCCCATCATACTAAACCGATTTCGAAACCATGCTTGCTCACATGGCTACCCTTTGTCCACTGTTCTGTCAATCCTGTCTAGAATGACTCGAATGAAAAGTTTGTAGACGACAGACAACAAACAGGTTGGGCGATAGTTGCCGATATCGTGTAGGTCACCGTTCTTAAATATTAGCACGGTATTGCTGGTTTCCACTGAGTCAGGACCTTACATTCAGACAGGTAACGTGTGAAGAGCCGAGCCAGCGTGTTTGCGAGGATTGGTGGAAGGTTCTTCAGGTGCTCTGAACTTAACCTGTCGGAACCTGGTGCTGTTCCATTTTTCACCAACGAATTAGCATGTCGGATTTCGAAAGGGAGAACCGGTCTTACAACATATCCATCTTCCTTTACTTCATATGACGGAAGGTGGACGTGGCTATCAAAGAGATCTGAATAGTATTCGTGAATGTTGCGAAATGTTCGTGAATGTTATATTTCGCAACATACCCTGCCATTAAAAAGAAAAAGGTAGTAAATAAAGGGATTAAGAATATTCGTGAATGATTTTCTCCATTGCATCTCTGGACGCCGCAACTGTTCCGTCTGGGTGTTGGAGTGCAATCATTTGGTCTTGTAATTGGCGAAGCTTCCCATCCTCTGCAGCTTCGACCTTTACTGCTGCTCTACTCTCTTTAAGATCTTCTTTCATCGCCTGTCTGCATTGTTTTGGAAGTTTCAAACGTTAGCTCTTGGTTGCCTCCACCTCGTGCTATTCCTCTCTGGTGTTCGAGCTCGACGGTTTTTGAGACAAACGTCTCTTAGTGATTTTTGAACTCTCAGCTATCACAGCGCTAACGTGAAGATGTTGAATGAGCCGATCGTATTCTTCGTCAATGTTATGGACAACGGCATCCTCCCATCAGCCGACTAACGAAATGAATAAGTCCTAGTTTATAGTGGTTTTGGATTTCGTTTTTTGAATTTAGTGGCTTTTTCTCCTTTCTGCGAAAAATGGAATCTTTCACGAAGGAGGCAGTGGTCCGATCCCATGTAGAATTTTGGGAGAACAGCGATATCAGTTAGGCAAAACTTTCGGTTGTCTATGCTGCCGTCCATTTCGTTATGGTACCCTCCACTGAGAGACTCCCACGTCCAGTGTTGAGGGTGGGGCTTCTGAAATTGCGAGTTACCATGGATGGTCTTGGTCGTCATTATAAACTCAGGCAGCCGCTCACCCTGTTCGTTCCTTTCTAATCCGTGTGTCCCAATGTGACGTTCTTCAGACGTTCTTCTTAGTCCAATCTTGGCGTTGAAATCTCAAATGATGACCTTGAACAATGTGTGGTCTTCTCTGTAGAACTTCTCCAAGTCCATATTAAACGCTTCGACTTCTTCGTCACAGTTTAACGTCGGCGCATGAACAACGAAGCCGGAATTGATCTACATCCCTTTAATCGCAAACGTCCGTTTCAGGTTTTAAGCCGTTCAAATGAGTCGTTGTTCATGGACAAACTCGTATTGACGGAAACGCTAACCGCGCCGACTCCTTTACTGTCACATGTTCCGAAGAACAGTTTTTCTCGGGTGTTATAGACGGCGTTCAATGGATGGCGTCGTCACGTTTCGGCCAGGCCGATGACGTCTTGCTTTATCCTTCTTGCTTGACTGAACAAGTCTTTTACCGAGGACTCGGATGGAAGTCTACGTTAATTGTAGGTACAGTTCGTCACCTTAGTTCATCGAGGCTTAGAATTGCCCTGAAATCTTAGCATCCTTTCCGTACTCGTCCTACCCAACGGTGCCAAATTGGGGGCTCCTTCGAGATAAAGGGAATGAGGCTGTTTTCTTTCACTGTGTTTAGCATTTTGGTGCCCACGTATAGCTTGCTGCGCTCTGAATGTGTGGGCTGGGTATACACACGGGTAGCTTGCCAGGCTCTCCCAGAGTGGACATGGAGCTTGCTTGTTGGAGGCGCCTCCTTACCACCTCCCATATGTTTCCCTGTCTCTTGATTGCAGGGTTTTGGCCAAACTGACTCGTAGAATACAATTCCCATAAACTTGAACAGATCCACACACGCGTGCATAAATACTCCTCGTAAATACAGAAATTATGCCCCAAATCGGCGCAACAGAAACAAGGTGTCCTTCTCCTGGATCCACGTATTATCGGAGTGCAATTGTCTTGGTTTTGTAATTGGCGAAGCTTCGGTGGGTTTTGCGAATGCTTCTACCAGCCTCTGCAGCTTCTATCATAACTGCTGTTTTTTTTTCTTTAAGACCTTCTTTTATCACCTGTCTGCATTGTTTTGAATGTTCGGACGTCAGTTCGCGGTTGAATGCAGCTCGTGCGATTCCACGCTGGCGCGTCAGCCCGAGTGTTTCTGGAGACGGTTGGCTCCTGGTGGCCTTTAAACTCTCAGCTTTCATAGCACTAACGCGAAGATGCTGAATGATCCCATCGCGTTCTCCATCGATGTTATCGACAACGGCATCCTCCCAACAGCAGACTAATGAGTTTATAGTGGCTTCAGACTTCGTTTTTTGAATTTAGCGGCTTTTCCTCCTTTCTGCGAGAAATGGAATCTTTCACGAAGGAGGCGGTGGTCTGTTCCCTTGTAAAATTTTGAGACAACAGCGACATCGGTTAGGCAAAACCTTCGGTCTACTATGGTGTGGTCTATTTCAATATGGTACCTACCACTGGGAGACTCCCACATCCAGCGTTGAGTGTAGGGCTTCTGGAATTGCGAGTTACCATGGATGGTTTTGGTCATCATAATTAACTCAGACAGCTGCTCACTCTGTTTGTTTCATCCATACGTTCTTTTTTGTCCAAGATAGACCTAGCGCCGTAGAATTCTTCAGTGATGCCAACTATTTCTTGTCCGAACCTTTGCCAACTATGAAAAGCCGTTCGACGGCGCAGAGATGAAGACCAATCTAGTAACGCGCTCTGACCAAGAAGTGGATACCTGCATAAAACTGTGATCCCGTGCTGTTAATATATCTTGAAAATACATCTCTTTCGTCTATTTCTTACCGTCCTCCTGGAAAGAAAAGGTCCGACGTCGCAATATGACCTCGTAAAAGTAATTCACTTTAGCGGCGAAGTATATAAAGAGGTCACTAAACTGAAATGTAAAGGACACGGAGAATAATTGAGAATTCCTATCAAAATTTCGCATCCCCTATGTCATCACATATTCAGACAGCTTAAAGAACAGAGAAAAAGTAGAAAACTGCTAATCAGTAAATAAGTAGAGTTAGTACGAAGAAAATGCAGTCCATGGAAAAACCGGTGAGACGGTGAAAATTAAATTGAAGTGGATGATTCTCTTATTTCAAAGACCACATCCTATGTCTTCCTACGTCAAATTAAAATGTTTAGTAAAGGTTCAAAACGAAATAAGGGAAGGTAGTGATGAAGAATGAAAGCAGCTTGGTACGTGTCTGGGTCTGTCGGTGAAGCTACCACTCAACTAAACGACCATAGACTTTTCAGCCATCTGCGCCGTAAGGATGGAAACACACTCACCCAAGTCATCAAGAACGGAACAAGATCAACGCTATAGATAATGAGAACAGAAGAACAATAAGAATAAAAATACGCCGTAGTTTCCATGGCTTGTAAGGTTGTCAAGTGCATCAACAGCATCACATTATACTTGCAAAACTCTGGACCGCAGGTGCTTGTGGTATGGAACGAGCGCGCTGTTACCCTTTCCGGGGCTAACGTGTTGACCACCCCATCATGCGGGTCATTCGTTTCGTCTGTCTCTCAGATTGCTTGATCAGTGCCATCAGCAATCACCCGTCAACGGCGCTGATCCATGGAGCCCAAATCGGCATTGATCACAGTTAAGCTCAAGCAGTAGTCGAAATCACAATGTTAACCTTTTATTTACTGCCTAGTACAAATTTTCACGGCAAGGTATTATGTAAAATACAACCATAAAGGGTAAGACCGCGCTCATTCCGTACCGCACACACCTGTAGTCTTGAATTTTGCAAATACCGCAACTTCACTGTGGTTGTATTTCTCATAATGCCCTGCCCTGAAATACTGTCGTAGGTAGTAAATAAAAAGTTAATATTAAAATGCTATAACTTGTGATGACAGATGCCATACAAGTAGAGTGGATCATCGATGTTGGACTCCATCGACATTGAACGCATTGACGCAGATGGTTGCCATTATTTAACTTATTTTAAGGCGCCTTATTATGGCTAGAATCTCAAGGAAGTGATATCATTCATCATCAGTTAAGCTAAGGTTGTAGTTGAAATCACAATGTTAACTTTTTTTACCCCCGGAAAGGGTAATGGGGCGTTCCTTCCCCACCGCAGACACCTGAGGTCCAGAGTTTCACAAATATCTCGGCATCACTGTGATTGTATCGCACATAATACCTTGCCATTAAAAACTGTAATAGGCAATAAATAAATAAAAGTTGACATAATATCACATTAGACTTATCACATTACTATTAATATTAAAATTTAGTTAACACAGCTAACATAGAGCACTGTTGCCAAAAGCAACTATTATTCCACACTCTAACTGACTTGATTGGCGAAATGATAGACCGGTTTGTAGATGGGAGTACACGTGAGACCATTGCCATTGTAGGTTTGCTCTTCGTACATGAACAGCATCAGCATATTAGCAGCCAGAGCCACCACCCACACCAGTATGATCATCGCGTACGCGTGCGATCTAGGACAATCGGATGTTAATTGTTTATTCGTGAAATTCTTTACCTAGGTTATAACGGTGAAATAACCATGCATCCACCTTGTCTGCCATATTCGTGAATGCAGTGGCCTGCAAATGGCATAATATCTTTCAAAAGCGATCACCGCAAGCGTATAAGCAGACGCTGTGACAACCATTGCTAAAGTATCAACAGATAACTCTGGATAATTTGTCAAATTAAGTTTTTTAACGCTACTATAATGCGTGATAGTTAAAAGACTTATCAAGTCAGTGTGCCCTATTTCACACTGTTACCGCCAATTTGGGCCCCGTGTAGAGCAGTGGTTAAAGGTGCCTTGCAATACACACATGGTTGTGGTTTCGATCTTGCACCGAAGGCAAACCACGCCCTCCATTTTTCCAAGATCGGCAAATTGGTAGCAAACATCTCTAGGAAAAAGAAAACACCGATTTGATTGGTAGAAGGGTCTTCGCAAGTGATTATAAATGTCAAATATGCATTCATCACCTCTACGATACTACGCAAAGCGCAATCTATAAGGATTTATGAATATAAGACGCTCCATTTATTATTTTTTAATGGCGTTTTACAAAGTATAAGCGAACAGCCTCTCTCAGATCTGTCAGTGTTGTGTATTAGCTAGAAAAGCGAATTCAGCGCGACAATTTTAATATATCACCTGCTTCAGTTGTGGAGCCGTTGATTGCCGAATGACTAGGACTGGCGTCAATAAACTTTCAATTTGCATCATATGCAGGTGGCAGCTCAACCCCGCTCCTGGTTCACCAAGTCTTTCACTTCTTCTGGGGTCAGAAAATTTTGTACCAGACTTGTCTGGGAACAGTTCCCTTTCCCATTCCCTGCAGGCCGAATGGGGCCTCTTTGGCGTAGCTGTTCAATAGCTCTATGGAGAATCAACTCGACCAGCATTATCAACAACATTCTTAAAAAAGACGACAATCTTCAAGCAGCTGCTGAACCCAAGCGCAAAAGTTGAAATGATGATGAATGATGATGAATGATGAATGCGAGGAAAGGAATCGAAGGCGGGAAGTGTTGGAATGCGTACTGTGGTTGTGAAGAGATATCGTGTAAAATAAAAAAAAGCAAAAAGGCCATTTATGGGAAAGAGACGGATTGGAGTTATTGTTCTATTTCAGCAATCTATTAATTCAACAGGCCATATCAAAATTGAACTATGACCAAAAGTTATGTCCTTGACGTGCAATATGAACATATGAGTACGTTTTGAGGGAAACAAACCCACACCACGTAATCGAGTTGATTCTAACGGAATCGTGAAAATGCTCACTGGATTGTAACAAATTATCGTTCAAGTTGTAAACAAATGTTTTCGGAAACATCATAAGACTCTGGATGAAAGAGAAGATAAACCATTAAATGGTTGAAAGAACAGAAACACTAAAATCGTAACCTTCTCTTCACCGATAGCGAAAAACAACCTGTACTCATTAAATTGGTGACAAGTATACCATGGCTACGAAAGTGGCTCACAAAAATAGTCACTCACGAGAAAAATATTTGAAAAGACTCACGCTGTAAGTAGGCAAATACCTTGCACAAGATGTTACCGAAAATCCAACAGTTCATAACCATCGAAACTAAAAGCAAATCAATTTTTTAATTTTTTAAAATTGTTTTTAACAATCTTAACCCTTTTATTTACTGCCTTTTTCTTTTTAACGGCAGGGTATGTTGCGAAATATAACTCATATATAATGCTGAGATATTTGCAAAACACCGGACTGCAGGTGTCTGCGGTCGGAAACGAACGCGCGCTATTGTCCTTACCGGGGAGTAGCGCACTTCACCACCACACTATCCGGGTCCTTCGTTTTGCCTGTCTCTCAGCTAGTTCTATTGATCTTTTGCCATCAGCAATCAACTGTCAATAAGATTGATCTGGGGATCCCAACGAAGTAGTGCTGATGGCTATACCAACGGAGGGTTCAGATTTGTTCATGACCTATGTCTTCGTGGGCATCCTGGTTAGCCTCGCTATCTACCATGCCAGGAATTAAAAGCAAATACTTTCAGTCTTCGCAATTTAAAAAAGTACGCATTCCACCAGTCCGGATTCTAAAAATCAATCGGCGGGATTCTCTCGCATATAGGCAATTAAACTATGCGCCTATTCACCCTTTATATATTAGACTTTCTCGACATTTAGATGATTGCGTTCTCTTTTTGCCTTCTTTCTCTTGAAATCGTTTCGAACACGTGGCGCCAACGATTGTACTTCGTTCCATTGCCAGTTTTTTCAAAAGAAACTAGTTCTTTACCTTCCACATAGTGATAATAGCCTGCGGCCATTTTTCGCTCTTATTGCAAAGCACTGGCAGTGCTTTGCTTTGCCAATAGTGTTTACCGCCTCACCGTGGCTAGGGTGTTACTGAGTGTCGGGCTGCGATATACCGAGGGAGGATTCAACCTCCTGGCAGGGTCTCTCAAGCTGAGAAGGAGTCCGGCGTTTCCATGACGACGCCCAGCTAAGAGCACACCAAACCCAGCATCCGTCACCGTCCTGGTACCAAACTAGTCGCATGGTGGCAAATGTTCCTCTGATTCACAAGGGCTGCAACTGCCTGTCGTGGTGACGACCTGGGGCTGACTTTGGCCAGGCTGTCCTCGGGATTCCAAGGAACCGCAGTGGCTCAACCAGCAAATCTCCGAAAAATGGTGATTGTGCTGGGGACCTCACAACCAGTGAGGACGGGCCGTTCAAGTATCAAGTATCAAGTTTTCTGTTCTTAGGTCTGTTTCAGCATCAATCTTTCCACAAACACGTGAATATACTGAATAAATCCAATAAACGTATACTGCTTGCCTATATGAATGATCGACGAATGAATAACCGAAAACAACCGTAATACGAAACTTTGGACCTAAACACCTCAGCTTATACAAACCTTGTCAAATGAAACTAAAATAATTAGAGTCTACATACAGACCTTTCCCAACAGAATACAAGTTTTCTTATTCTACGATGGTGAAATTCCGATCTTGTTAAACTCTCGTATTTCCAAGAACAAATCGATTGAACAAATGAGGTTTGCTGCGATCTATCCTTGTTTAGGCCAACTCGAGGTCATCACTCACTCCTTCTTGAAAGACGTTGATGGCTGCTTGGGCGATCTCTCCTTTTTCTTCGCTTCTTTCAAAGGTTAAACGTATTACACACCAATATTCATTACTCATTTAATACAGCAGAGTTTTAACAAAACCCTGATTCATAAACCAAACCATTTGAGAAAAAAGCGGTGAGTTCCATCTAATGACTGGGTTTCTGGTTTGGCGATTTTATGAATTAGGTGAAGTTTACTAGAATGCTGGTCGTGCAACTTGGTTCCGACCACCGCCTTCTTCGCGCGAAGATTCGATTCAGCCGCAAGCTGGAAAAGAACTCTCTTCATCGACCACAAGGAAAAAGTTTAGCTGTATACGACGACAGCGTTCTGAACGAAGTTTTGTGCAAACGTGACTGGAAGATGAAAGAAGACCTAACCGAAGACTACAAGCTGGTTGTCGAAGGACTGAAAAGTTGTGCAGAGTTAGCTTCAGTTCCTCAAGCAAGAAGATCGGATCGCATCTTCATCACTACTAAGGAGTTGCTCGAAAAAAGAAGGAAACTGAAGCTTGATCCTACTGCAACACGTTTAACATGGCTAGTAGTAAATGCCAGCTGCAAAAGAGCTTTGCAAATAGATCTACAACGGCACAAGCAGAAGAAAATACTGGAAGCAGCAGAGAAAAGAAGCAGTCTGAAAAAATGCCGTCGGGACTTGTGTGATCATAATGTTCCGCTGTCAGCCCTGATGAACGAAGATGGGATCGTCAAAACTTCTCTCCATGATATGGAATTAATAGCGGAAACGTTCTACACCAACCTTTTCCGTTCCACAATCCCCGCCCCGGGCTATAATATCTCTAATGGAGAAAAACGAGCTGGAATTCTTCCGTCGGAGGTTCGAGTTGCGATACAAAGCATGAAAAGAGCAGAAGTGATGATCAACGAACTCAACGAAGCGAGGAAAAAGAACGGACTCCGCATAAATCGAAAGAAGACTCAGCTCATGAAAAACCCACCGTGGGAAGGCGAAAAAAATGAATTCGATGGCTCTCTCATTGCAGAGACCACCTCGTATGTTTTTTCTTGGGCGACCAGTGAACATGGAAAAGAACACGAACGAGGAACTAGATAGAAGGAGGAGAGTAGCTTGGGCCGCATTCGGGCCTATCAAAAAAGTCTCAACTGAAGGACCCGAAGAACCGCGCTCGTCTCTTTGATTCCACGGTCCTCCCAACGCTCTGTTATGCTGCTGAGACGTTGGTTGATACTTCAATTACGTCAAGATTACTCCGCACTACACACAGAGCACTTGAGCGATGTCTTCTAAAATATAACTGACACTCTCAATATCTAGCCGGAATGCGAAGCTCTGACCTTCGAAATCTATCACATTTTCGAGATCCAGGAAAATATACATGGACAGCGAAACACAGGTGGGCCGGTCACATAATGAGAACAAACGACAGAACGAGAAAACGACCGACGACAAATGAACGAAAAGAAGACTAGAGTGGACTCCAAGAAAATGCAAACGTTCTCTTGGACGACCACCTACACTTTGAGAGAACGTGTTGGTAAACAAAGTTAATCAGCTGTACCCGCATCTGTAGTTATTTTACAGCTCACGATATGAGACTAGCAAGCGCTGCCATGCTCGAACAAGACCACCACCATGGACTACGATTGCGAGAGAAACGAACGAATGGCATATGTGCTGGGGTCCGCACAGCTCGTGATGACGGGCAGGTCAAGTATCCAAGTAAGTAAGTTACTAGAATGAGGAAATATTAACGGTGTAACAAGCGTAGGTCTAAAATACTTCTACGCTCTGAAAAAGACGGTATTGCCGAGACATCAACCAGCGCTCTATTTTAAGAAGGAATGATAACAGCCTCAAGTAAGCTTCAACGAGTACAGATCGTATAAGATATTACCGATCACTTATTCCGAAGTTAAGTGTTAGTCAGTCATTCAAATCTAAACGAGATTTTGCGCTGAATAACAAGGTGATGGTTGTGACTACACCGCTGACATTTGCTGGTGAGTGGATGGCGGAATGGAATGGGAAATTTGTAACTTCGAAATCCACCTTCAATTTTTTCGAAAATTCCGCTTCATAAGAAATTTGTTAAGAAAATACCACTATATTTCTTTAAATTGATATTTGAAAGCGTCTCTTATAGCAATGCCAAGTCCTCAACTGCCAACGCATTCTGTTAACCGAAATGAACCAACAAAACTATTTGCCAGATAGCTGGATTTCTTACAATACTTAGTGGTAATATCCAGCATAACTTACACAGTGTTGGTGGCATACAAACCACTGAAAGCATCAAGTCGGTGATAGCGAGATTCATAAGGTAAATGTTGGTGATCGAACGCATCGCTCTTCGCTGAAATTCGATCATATCTTGCTTGATACGCTACACTTTGAATGAGCTTTTGAAAATTTCCAAAAACAACATCTAAGACAAAACGTAAAATGACGGCCTCAGGATCGCGAAACGATCAGTCCAGAGCCTTTCTCAGATACTCGTTTAATTATTCATTTTAATATTTTTCATATATTCAATGTTTATTTTTATACAATATATTTTTTTCATATATGTTTCATTTCAATATAATGTTCTCTCTTAAAGAGAGAAGAGCAGCATTAATGGTCGGAGGTGCAGAGGCTGGAAAAAGCATTCGCAAAGCCCAGCCAATTACAAGACCAAGATGATTGCACACCAACGCCCAGACAGAACAGTTACAGTGTCCAGAAGGGCAATGGAAAAAATCATTCACGAATACTACTCGGATCTCTTTGATAGCCACGTCCACCTTGCGTCACATGAAATAAAGGAGGATGGATATGTTGCACCACCGGTTCTCCCTTTCGAAATCCGACATGCTAATTCGTTGGTGAAAAATGGAACAGCACCAGGCCCGGAGAGGATAAGACCAGAACACCTGAAGAACCTTCCGCCAGTCCTTGTAAACACACTGGCTCGGCTCTTCACACGTTACCTCTCTGAATATAAGGTCCCTACTCAGTGAAAGACCAGCAAGACCGTGTTATTGTTCAAGAAGGGTGACCTACGCGATATCGGCAACTATTGCCCAGCCTGCTTGCTGTCTGCCGTCAACAAACGTTTCCCACGAGTCATCCTAAACAGGATTGACAGAACACTGGGCGAGGGACAGCCATGTGAGCAAGCAGGGGTTCGAAAAGGATTTAGTACGATGGACCACATCCACGTGATAACAAAGCTCATCGAAGTATCGCGAGAGCACAAAAGACCGCTCTGTCTCACTTTCATCGATTTGAAGAAGGCCTTTGGCTCAATTGAAATAGAAGCAGTCATGAAAGCCCTTGATAGTCAAGGAGTCCCTACTCAGTACATAAAGATTCTTCGTGAGCTGTACAAGAATTTCACTACCAAGATTTTACCATTCTACAACGATATTAACATCGACATCAAAAGAGGGGTTAGGCAAGGTGATACTATCTCGCCAAAATTATTTACCGCCACCCTTTAGAACGTCACTGGAATGGCATAATATGGGAACGAAAATCGATGGCCGGCAATTACACCATCTTTGCTTTGCTGATGACATCGTCCTTATAACACCAAACATTAGACAAACGGAACGTATGCTTGACGAGTTTTATAAAGCCTGTGGAAAGATTGGTCTTCGATTAAATCTCACAAAAACGAAGTTCATGAGGAACGGATTGGTTTCGTATACTCATTCACGCTCAACGGAACGAATATTTCCGAATACTCCAATTATATCTATCTAGGCTGGGAAATAAATATGATGAACAACCAAGCTCCAGAGCTGAGCAGAAGAAAACGAGCGGCTTGGGGAGCTTTCAAGAGCATCGAGGATGTAGTGAAGAAAACAAAGAACACCCGACTCCATGCCCACCTTTTCGACTTAACGGTAGCTCCTGCCCTAACGTATACTTCAGAAACTTGATCGGTGAGTAAGCAGGATGAAAGATCACTCAACGTTATCGAACACGCTGTCGAAAGGACGACGCTAGGAGTATTCTGTTTCACACAAGCAAAGGATGGGATCTGAAGCTCCGACCTGCGTCAACAATCAAAAATCAAAGATTCCGTTCTGTACGCCAAACAATGGAAGACAAGGTGGGCCGGACACGTAGTGCTTATGAATGACAACCGATGGACAAGAGCTGTTAGTGACTGGATTTCTTGGGATGTCAAGTGTACTGCAAGAAGGCCACCGATTCGATGGGCACAGTTCTTCATGAAAAGCCTAGAGGAAAGACATGATGCTCAACGAGTCTCTAAAGCGAGCACAGTCCACTGAGCTACTCTTGTACGCGACAGGGAAAAATGGAAGATTTACCGGCGCCCGCTCGAGTCACTCAACGATCAACGGGGCTACAAGTGACAGAGGCGAATATTTCTCAAAGATTCTCAGCAGCCTAAGTTCTACGAATTTAGATGAGCGCATTATTTAATTTTTTTATCGTAGTTTTACATAAGATTTCTGTGGTAATGACTGCATAGAAGGATAAAGCGTTCCGTGGTCCGGTGTTGACCAATCACTGAGGAATGCGTTATGCATTCGACAGCATCGATCATCGTTATAGGTGATTGAGTGTACATCTCGCCTATACAATTACTCGCGGTGGCCTACTGATCTATTGAGTCAGTGCTGAAATTCTCCTAGACAACCCTGGTAGCAACTTGCCGACCCCGGTGAGATCGAAGGCTTGCCCGCGACAGTGGTGGAACTAAAGACCATATGTGTGGTACAGGGCACCTCTAACCATAGCACTATACGCGCCTACTACAACTGTAAAGTCGCTTGCGTTTCTAACTTGAAGCGATATTACGACTGATATTACGACTGATGACTGCTGAACGACATAAGGAATATACTGCCGAAAAGCTATGCGTCGTGCCAGTTAAGGAAATCGCATTGGTTGCGAAAGCGAGTGTAGAATAGAATTTTTCCACAATAGTAATTGCTTTACTGATGACACGAAATGCAGCACTCAATGTAATCAGCAAACTTAGATCCTAAGCAACACTTGCTGACGGCATACTGTGCTTATGCCTAACGCTTTTATAACCGTGAAAAAATTCGCGTGGAAGGACGTCCACACTAAGTGTCACTTGAAATGCGCATTGAAATCAGAATATGCGGTCCTCGAGCCCTCTCAAAAAGGCGGCGCTTTCTTGAGCTTTTGGTTTTACTACTCGGTTAACTCGCATATTTTCCGTGTCTCCCTAACTTCTGCGTATCCGCAATGTTTTTCTGAATGTGCCATGTTTTTTGGACAGTTCTCGTACGTGACGAAAACCATTATCTAATTATGGTATTATTTGCTTTTCGCCTTGTTTTGTGCAATATTTAATGTGCACTTCTGTGTCCCTTTCATATTTTTTATATCCACCTATTATGTTCCACCACATGTAGCGCATTGGTCGGAGGCGCTCCGCAATACAAATTGGGTCAATCCCAGTGCCTCAGGCTATAACCAAGCCTTCTATTCCACTGGAGTAGGTAAATTGACACCAGTTTTGTCTGGGATGATAGCAGCACTGGCTCGATACATCGGTAGAACACTGCGAGTCAATTTAAAGCCCAGATATGGATTCAATCACCTCCAACGATGCGTAATGAAGTGAATGCATATAGCATCCCTCAAGGATTGATCAACACCGACAGCTTTACCTTTCATCTTTTTATGTTCCATCGTCCAAAATGTATCTCTCCAGTACAGACCAGTGAATAAAACCTGCTTCGATAAGCTATCGATTGACAACAAGAACTTTAGAAAAAAATCTCTGTATGGCGAAATTAATCAGAAAAAAAGCGTGAGCGTTGAAGTCAAGGTGCGCGGTTCGAAGCATGTCGCAGCGCACAAATTGAAGTGTAAATGGTAGCAAGAGGATGGATCTTCAACTATCTTTGAAAAGGATTAAATTCATATATGAATTACCCGCATAATCGAACATTTATCAAAGCGCGAACACAACAATGATCTCATTAGAAAACATCCTTGAACATCCATCAGAGAAATAAAAAGGAAAAGGAAAAGAGGCAATATAAGTGTCTCACCTGCAGGATGACAACGATAACCAGTGCGTTACCGATAACGGAAAGAAGAAAAATGGTGATGAATGTGAAAATCACCACATAATTCTCAACGGTTCCACGAAATTGGCACGTTTCCTCAACGGTTAGGCTAGAATAATTACAATCAACGAAGCCTTTAAAAGAAATAGAACCACAATGGTGCTGAGATTTTGCAAAACTCCGGACCGTAGGTGTATACGATGGGGAACGAACGCGCTATTATCCTTTCCGAGGATTAACGCTAACCTAACCGCCATAGAAAGTTGTGAAACGCACCAAATAAAAAGCTAATTCTATTTTAAAAAATTCGAAACTAAAGCTACTCGTACTTTAATGATGATTTTGTAAGCTGCAAACAGTTTCAACACTTTCATTACCTCAAGACAGATAAAAGCGGACTAGTAGCAATATTATAGAGCTTTTTTCTTTCTTTCTTCAGCCACAACACACCACATGTTTTCCGATGTGTTATGTCTTTAATGGAAATAAAGGAAAGATGAATAACCAGTATCAGCATAGGTGTTGCAAATTATAGAGCTATTCCTAAAACCAGTCCATATCGATATCATTGCTACGGGATGTCGGAGTTTCCAAAAGGGCTATTAAAGTCGTTAAAAACAGCTAAAACAGAAATGCCTATTAGTCTGCTGTAGAATAATCTCAACATTCAAATGTTATGAATACGGTTAGAAAGAAAGTGTAAGATATTTTCTATGGCATTTTGTAATAATCCAATAATTCACTTACTTGATACTTGAATGGCCTGTTCTCCACTGGTTGTGCGAGCCCCAGCATAATCTCCATTTTTCGGAGATTTGCTGGTTAAGCCATTGTGGTTCCCTGGAATCTCGAGGACAGCCTGGCCAAAGTCTGCCCCAGGTCGTCACCACGACTGGCAGTCGCAGCCCTTGTGGATCAGAAGGAGATTTGCCACCATGAGACTTGTTTCATACCACGACGGTGGTGATCCTGGTAGTGGTTTACTCCTAGCTGGACTTCCTGATGGAAACGCTGGACTCCTTCTCAGCTTAGGAGACCCTGCCAAGAGATGAATCCCCTCCCCCGCTGTACATCGTAGTCCGACACCCAGGAACACCTCCCAGCCACAATGAGGCGGTAAACCGTTGGGATCATCCAGTAACAGTTGTTTTTTCACTAAATCATTGCAAGAACAATGTTCTTTGGGAAGAAATAGAATTGCAAGTGGTGCTCTTAATGAGGGCAGTAAAGTAGTGAATTTAGATTTACAAACCCTTATTGGTAGGTGTGAGGGCAGGTGTAGTACACTAGTTAGAAGCGCCCTGCATCACACACGCAGATGTTGGTTCGACACCGCACTATAGGTTCACTAAACCCTCCATTCCATAGTGATCGTTAAACTGGCAGCATGCTTGCCTAAGAGAGTGGTGCCAGTGAGTTGACACAACGCTAAGCCATCGTGAGTCATTGTAAAGGTTAGATATGCATACAATTACCGTTAATAATACTTCATTATATAGAATGCACGACGCATCCTTCAGGAATTGATCAACGTCGAAAGCCCTATCCTTGCACTTGTGGTAGATGGTGCTCAAAGGGCTTCGTGCTTACTTCATTCATTTGCAACGTATTTCCCCAAATGGCTTTTAACTTATTACCAGTTCTTTATAATAAAAATAACAATCTACTGTGTCTACCAAGCGTAAGATTTTCTGTTCTAATCAAAACGTCTGAACTTTTAGGACGGTAATTACTGGTAACAGCTGTAACAACGTTAATCACTGAGTGTGGCGAGCCAATAGTGAAGGGGTTTCTATCTTTGAGTTAGTGCTTCTGGGATTTTACGAGCATCACATATTCTATTCTCAATTCCAGTATTCTCGAAAAGAATCTAGCCTCGCTTAACCTTCTAAACCCTGCCATTATGTAGCCTTACGACATTTCGTGACGTACTCTAACTAGCCATCTGAATATGAATGTCTTTCAACTGCATCCGGATAAGACAACCATAGACACCACGAACAAATGAAGTAATGATATAACCAAAAGTCTCATATTGCACAGTGTGAGAGTGCTCTCAAAAAAATCAAAAAATTCAAACTATTCCTTGAATGGATAAAAGGGTAACAGATAAAGCTCCAGGCGCTAATCAATCCCTTAGAGTGCGCCATACATTTGAGTTCACCAAGTCTCGTCAAAGGTGACTGAATGCATTTCTGGCTTATACAAGACTTGCAGCGCTCTACCGAACAACTTCAATTTAAAACATTATCCCCAGATCGATACTTGCAGCACTGGCCCAACAGGCCTCCATTTCATAAGGGACGGCACACGAGTCATTGTAAAGCCCAGATATACGTTCAATCACTTCCAAACGATGCCTAATGAAGTCGAATGCATGGCGCATCCGCATCCCTCGGGAATTGATCAGCGTTGACAGCTTTATTGTCTATCCTTTAAAAGACTATCACCCAAAATCGTTAAAGATGAATTAGAAGAAGAGTCAACTGCATTTTCCAACACAAATAAAGTACTGTAACAATGTAAGGAGCGCTACTTCAGTAGTAGAGATCCTGCTCACTACGCGGACGGGCCAACCTGCCTAGGAACTGGTTCGATATTGTTCCAAACCTCTTTATCCCACTGGGATCAGGAAATTGGTAGTAGATTAGTCTAGGATATCCTGACCAATCGACGCGGGAACGCCTCAGCACGGCTATTTCTAAATTCCAGAGAAAACTCTGCCCTTAACGGCATTCGTAACGAAGAAGAAAAAATCCTCAAGAACCAGCAGAAGCCTGACGCAAAAAAGTTTAGAGAACTTCCTAGATGTTGGATGTGAGGAAATCGAAATTTGTAAATGTGGCAGTGAGTAATATGATAAATAAATAATGCAGCAAATAAATCACGTAATACGTATTCTTTCTTTGATGAGCTTACACTAGGTTGATAATGATATTTATTTTCGGCTAATGTTTCGACACCGTCTTCCTCAGCGCCGATGATTCGAGTCGATGGTCCACGCTTGTTATTCGTCTCGATGTTGCAGCTTCGCTTTCGTGTCGAGCCAGGTCTTCCTCAGTGAGCTATCTCTTCGAATGAGGCATTATCACTCAGTGATGCCCTTTTATGCAGGTTGCTGACGGTGGATAGCTGTGATTGACCGGTGATAGTGTGATAATAACTTTTTTTTCCTAGACAGTCAAACCTGCAGAAGTTACGTAAATCACGTAATGTTGTACAGTGACATCATTAACCTCATAATATGTCCTTACGACAAAGATGTTCCCACCACTATTTTATTTTCCGCAAGAAAATAAAGTAACCTCAATGTTTCTGTTATTATCACCGGACATTATCATTATATCCACCATCAGCATTGTGTATAAAAGGGCATCACTGAGTAAGGATGCCTCATTCGAGGAGATGGCTCACCGAAGAAGACCTGAAAAGACACGAAGGCGAAGCTGCCACGTCGAGACGAATAACAAGCGAGGACCATCGACTCGGATCACCGGCTCTGAGGAAGACGAAGACGTCGAAACGTTAGCCGAAAATAAACATCATTATCAACCTTGTGTAAGCTCATTAAAGAAAGAATACATATTAACCTCAATGTTTCCCAGAGACAATATCCTTCCTTAGTGGAAAACATTCCTCCAATAGAAACACACTTCTGGATATACTCTGAACTGCTATGCGCTTTAAAACGATGGCGGTGAGAATAGTTCATGTCATATCAACAATACTTTAGTCGCTCGACTAATCTATACGCAATTTCTAGATTCTAGACATCTTTCCTGAATTTTTTAACACTACCCTTCTTCTGTGAGCGGCTGTCCGAGTTTATCATGGCGACCAAGACAATCCATGGTAACTAGCATTTCCAGAAGCTCGAATATATGCGTTGGGCGTGAGAGTCTCCCAATGGAGGGTACCATAACAAAATAAAACACATTAAAGTAGTTAGAAGGTTTTGCCTAACCAATGTCGCTGTTGTCCCAAAATTCTACACGGGATCAGACCACCATCTCCTTCGTGCAAAATTCTATTTCTCACGGAAAGGAGAAAAAGCCTCTAAATTCAAAAACCGAAGTCCAAGAACCACCGCAAACTGGGACTTATTCATTAGTCTGCTATTGAGAAGATACCGTTGTCGCTAACATCGACGAGGAATACGATCGGTCCATTCAACATCTTCACGCTAGCAGTACGAAAGGTGAGAGTTTGAAAGTCACCAAGAAACGTTTGTCTCCAGAAACACTCGAGCTGATACGCCAGCGTGGAATAGCACGAGCTGCAGGCAACCGCGAACTAACGTCCGAACTTGCAAAACAATGCAAACAGGTGATAAAAGATGATCTTAAAAAGAGAAGAGCAACAGTAATGGTTGAACCTGCAGAGACTGAGAAAAGTATTGGCAAAGCCCACCGAAGCTTCGCCAATTACAAGACCAAGATGACTGCACTCCAAAGCCCAGACAGAACAGTGACAGCGCCCAGAAAGGCAATGGAAAAAATCATTCATGAATACTACTTGGATCTCTTCGATAGCCACGTCCACCTTCCATTATATGAAATAGAGGATGGATATGTCGTATCACCGGTTCTCCCTTTCGAAATCCGACATGCTACTTCGTTGGTGAAAAATGGAACAGCACCAGGTCCGGAGAGGATAAGACCAGAACACCTGAAGAATCTTCCGCCAGTCCTTGTAAACACACTGGCTCGGCTCTTCACACGTTACCTGTCTGAATGCAAGGTCCCTACCCAGTGGAAGACCAGCAAGACCGTGTTATTGTTCAAGAAGGGTGACCTACGCGATATTGGCTACTATCGCCCAACCTACTTACTGTCTGTCGTCTACAAACTTTTCACTCAAGTCATCCTAAACAGAATTGACAGAAAACTAGACGATGGGCAGTCATACGAGCAAGCAAGATTTCGAAAAACTCTTCACGAAGAGCCTAGAAGAAAAATATGATGCTCGACGAGTCCCTAGAGCGAGCAGAACCCACTGGGCTACTCTTGCACGCGACAGGGAAAAATGGAAGATTTTACTGACGCCCGCTCAAGTCACTCGAAGATCAATGGGACTATAGGTGACAGGTGACCATTCTTCTGGTCTACTGTGCTGGTGCCAGAACTTCTTACAATTGATTCCTTTCTTCGCATTTATCACCCACGAAGGTCTTCAAACTTTTTGCATTAGAGTTCCACAGCTCGCTGAGGATTTTCGTCTTCTTTATGGACTTCGTTTAATGTTGGTCGAATCGATTCTCCATGAAGTCCTAGGATGCCCGAGATAGGACGAAACCACTTGAAGTGCAAGAAATGAATTAATTCCGGCGACCAAAGTTTTGGTACCAATTTCCACACCCTTTAGAGTTGAAAGGCTTGAGCAGACCGTAGCGGGGTCGAACAAGCAACGTGCTAGTGATGAACAGAATCACTACTACTGCGCCTTCTGTCCTTTAATTCTGTCATTTTTTGAATAGACACAAAAAACGACTATATGTTCACACAGAACCTGTGTTGCATCTAGGGTTCAACAATTTTTTCGCTAAATTTTGTTTACTTTTGCGTCAAATATGCGTCAATAATGCTATCGTTCTAAAGGACGACGATTGTGAGATTGCTGTTGTCTTTTGTGAAGTATGAAGAGATGAATCCTAGGCAATATGTTAAAGAGAAAAGGTTGTCACAACGTTCTTTCTTGTGCCACTTTTCTGTGATATGTCAAAAAAGCCAAAATTACGGCATTTTGTTCTTATTCCGATGTTCAATTTTGGGAGTACGATTGTTAAGAAGCTTCATACCTACGCATGCCGGTGAGTCTTGTGAACATCAGGAATCAAATATCCTTTCGCTGTTAACTCATGAAGGTCCTACCCGATCGTAATAAAAAGCTCCAAACTGCTCCTTTCCTTTCCAAAAATAACAGACGGTTTGACCATATGATTCAAACACGACGATTCGGAAGTATAGTGTCCATTTCCAGCTCATTCTGTTACAGAATTTCTTGCCGTATGTAAAGTCATTTGATAGTTAATCGAAATCAGATCATTTTACTAAGATTCAGAACAGAAAATCCTTTTGCTTGGCTTAATGAATTACAAAGAATCTCTTTCGGGTTGTTCATCGACAGGTGATTTGACTGACAATTTACTGCATTCCACTGCTACGATGAATGGTAGCTTTTGTAGGTAATGTATGAATACGAAAAATAACGAGACGGATTCATCATAAGCAGGAAAAGCCTTTCAAATGCTGAAAACAGTAATTGCATGGTGGATCATAGTAACACATAATAAATAGTACCGTACCTATCATTCATACCCATAGAACCATACGACAAAGTTTTGCTGCGACCATGTAATGTTCACACCCCTCAAGTTCTCTATTCATTGAAAAATTATTGTTTACTGTAAAAAAAAAAACCCAGCAAGTCTGTAAAAGTGAAAAATAAACGTCGTTTCAAGCGGCAGGGCCACTTAATCCCGCCTTTTCGTTATGTGTTAGATTGGAATTTATATGATACCTAGGCGGTAGACGTCGATTGCCCTTTTTTCTTCTTAAACAAAGAAAGGGATGGGACAATCTGAGATTCTCTACCATAATATGTGATGATTTTTACAACACTGATTGCAGTAATTTCCGCATTTCCAGGATTCTTAATTCCAAAAGAGCATGAATCTTTAAAAACACATGGAGTAAGAAGAAGTAGCTTAGCAATGATAACCTCGTATTTAATATTGTTATAGCAGCGCACGTCGTATTACAATCAAGCAACCGGTTACCCACTTTTCTATTGACACATCCTGTTGGCCCGTGTTGTTGAGAACGATGACACGAATATCGTCGTCAGATTCAGGAATTGATGGCGTCATCGTTACAGCTGTAGTCATAGTATTGAGCATGTGTTTGGCCAGCGACATGGCCGCAGTGGCTGTTGTAGATGTGCCGGTGACGGTGGTGGCGACGGTGGCACGAGCCGTGCTGGTGACCGCGTCGGCAAGAGGCGTGGTCGTCACCTCATCGATGGGTGGAGTCTCCTTCAAGTACGCCGACACCGACACTGACCACCTTGATCGATTCATACTGAAAATGAACAGAGTAATCAGATGATGTGGACTCTATATCGAATACGTCATCAACTTTCGGAGTTAACGATAGCGGTGACAAAATCACGTCAAGAACCAGATCGCAGTTCGCGAAAATTGGGCAATTTAACGCTTTTCTTCGCAGTTATTGCAATCTAATTTCTATGCTTCGTCCACTATGAATATTAATAAAAATGACAAATGATATGAAATAGACGAAAGAAAAAATTACGCACTACATTTTACTTGTTCTAATCGCCCATTTTTCCTTAACTCGATGCCACTTAACCTGCTTTGAATTTCTTGTCATTAAACTCTGTCCATTACTAACGAAATCAAATAGCTCAATTTGGTTTAAGTGGAATGAAGACGGATAGAGTAGGTGCGACAGTTTGCGGATTTTCGCAATAGGCAATGATAGCAATCACTGATAATAGCATTTTTTAAGGAATACAACAAGCAAAAAATGCAACCAAATTTAGAGTAAACTTCGAAGTATAAAATGATAAGCGAAAAATGTTCGGCGTTCAACAATCCCTAAGGGATGCTCCATGCCTTCAACTCTATTCGTGGCATGGAATTGAATGGATACATGTTTACTTTATTCAACTAATTGAGGAGAACAATAGTTCACCCCTTTTTACCCACTCAGACAAGTTCAGAATCATTTTTTTCCTAATATCAGCAAAAATCAGGCGTGTGTAGGGCACTGGCTAAAGATGTTATGCAATGCACACGAGGTCGGTGTACTACCAGTCATTGCATATGTCAGACGAGCACTTCACTACGCGTTGGACGCTTTCACCTTTTATTTAGAAGCCTTAAGGATTCAGGGCTTGGCTGTAGGATTGAATAATAGACCAATTGTGCATTGTAGGCCACGTTTAACCACAGCGCTACATGCGACTTTGTGAGGTGTATCAAATGGTGTTTTGTATGTATGCAGTATAAACACCAAAGAATGACCAAGGACATCTGGAAATTACATTCTATCATTAACAGCAAAATTTGATGCCTTATCAACTTACAGTTATAATGGCAAACTAAAGGTAATATTTGAAAAAATCGAATGTAAGCAGAAGAAGAACTACGTTTAAGCCCCCAGATCTATCATTGTGGAGTGTCATCGCGACAACATAGTGGCAGAAAAATCATGTGGAAAAAAGTATTTAAGAAAGCAAGAAAGGAACAGTATCAAAACGGTAAGAAAATCAACGAGACGACAACAACGTGTTCATTTATAACTATACTAAGATATTTGCAAAACTTGGACCCCATCCCAGATCGAACCGCGATTACCCATTCCGGCGCTCACACATTGCGTACAGCACCACTGAGGCTTCCGTTTTGGCTTTCTCTTAGTCAGCCTCTTTACCCTAACGGTGCTATCAATACTGTGCTTATTTACGCTTAATTTTGTCGACCAGTTTTTTGTCCGCGTATTATTTAACCTCTAAACGGTTTACCGCCTCATTGTGGTCGAGAGGTGCTCCTGGGTATCAGGCTGCGATGTAAAGCGGAGGGATTAATCACTCTTCTAAGCTGAGAGGGATTCCAGTGTTCCCATTCAGAAGCCAGCTAAGTGTAAACTAATACCAGGAATCACTACCGTCGTAGTATAAAACTACTTCCATAGTGGCAAATCTCCCCTTCATCCATAAGGGCGGCGACTGCCTGGGGTAGTGATGATATGAGAAAGGCTTCGGCTAGAGTAACCTCGGGACTCACAATGGCTAAGCCAGTAAATCTTCAGAGAATGGAAATTATGCTGGGGCTGCACAACCAGTTAGGACGGGTCATCTAAGTATCCAAGTAAGTAGGCATTAGCAAAACTCTAGGCCGCAAGTGTCTGCGGAGGGGTAAGAACGCGCTATTACCCTTTCCAGGGGCTAACGCGTTCACAACCACACAATGCGGGTACTTCGTTTCGTCTCTCTTTCAGCTAGTTTGCTATCAATCAGTGCCATCAGCAATCACCAGCCAACGGGATTGACCTGTGCAGCCCAAATCGGCATTGAACCCAGCTAAGCTGAGGCTGTAGTCTGTGTCGTTCCCCACCGCATACACCTGCGGTCCGGAGTTTTGCAAACATCTCAGCACCAATGTGGTCGCATAGTACTCTGCCATAAAGAAATTTTAGTAGGCAGCAAATAAAAAGTAAACACTACAAGTAAACATTGTTTAAATAAAAGAACGGAAAATTATAAAGTAATTATTGAGAAAAGAAAGACCTAAATTTATTTATGTGATCTTATAAACTGATCTTCTTAAGCTGACGCGAGGTTGGTACAGATCTTCGTTGTCGTTGTCGTTGTTTTTGATGTTACTGATCGATGGCTGACGTTTCGGCGACTTCGCCTCCTCAGAACCGTGATGTTACGTGCGGGACTCTTTTCCGTCCTCTATAAGATCACATAAATAAATATATCAACTATCTATGCCGAGGTTTATAGAAAGTCGGTCTTTCGAGTTATTAAAAGACCAAAATGTTCTCCAACAGAAAAGTATGTACTGATTGCCTCTACAAGCTCAAAAACCTGACGATAAGGCATCGTAGCTGGAAAATTCAAAGTGCGGAACCGAGGATATTTAGTCGGACATCAATGTATTTAAACATGAACGGGCATTACAAACCTTACTCATCAAAACCGAAAAGAGTTGCTCAACGAAACCTGCTCGTTCCGAGGACATCATCAAATTTGAGTGTTATGCTCGTTTTTTAATGTTCTTTTTTTCAAGTGAGGGCGTAGCCACAGCAAGCTTTCGAACTCTCGTTCGCCCAGGTCTAATATTCCCACCTACTACGTAGCGCTAACCGACTACGGCGAAGGCGAGGAGAGGACAAGGAGGGAGGATGAAACGAATAACAGTGCTTTTCTTTTCTAACGAAAAGGATGATTTGAATTCGAACAAGCTTGTGATGACGTGGCTAAATAGCTCCTACGGTGATATGCAGTATTTGAGCAGAACCAATTATCGATTTTTTTCCCATTAGTTTACGATGGCCCTTAAGAAATCAAAAGCAGAGATGTGATAAGCTATTAATGAACGTGTATAAGAGAGCACAAAGATACAAACTTTATATGAATAAAGGATTGTTGCGTACGATTCAACACAATTGGTAATTTACTCTCTGGATGATCTATATAAGATTTTTCCTACCGAACAACAGCGTTCAACCGCTTGTCACACCTGTACACCTGCAAAAATTTTTAGAGTTACTTCACAATGACATTTTTGGTAAACTCATCCCAGCTGGTCAGTGTAACCCTTAAACCACAAGTAAAAGAGAGTAGGGCTTTCGGCGTTGATCGATCCCATAGCGATGAGCCAAACACTCGAGTCATTCGTAGCACCGTGGGGGCAATGAGATGAATATTGGGCATATAAACCGACCAGTATGTGCAAAGATGTCGTTGTACCAACTAAAGGTTTTTTTGCTGCCCAGATAAGCCTCGTGGAAACCTGCCGATTCTGAAGGGCTAGCGGGAACCTTCTGTTCAGAGCACGGGGTCGAACTAATAGAGTTGTGTGTATTGCAGAACACCTCTAACCACTGCGCTACACGCACCCTCATTAAGCTATAAGATGTGTTATTATGTTTAAAAGTGGCGCAGCCCATCCAGAAGCTCAAAATAAAATGTTAAAGCATCAGAGTTTTCGAGTGAAGTACTTGCAAACAATTTAGCTTTGATTACTTTGTCTCTAAGTCGATTATTTCCTTCCGCAAATCACAAATCAGATCAGATCCCCCTTTTTCACGATAGTTGTTTTCTTTGTGATCTCTCATCTTCTATCCCTCACTTTCTTGTTCTTCTCCTTTTACCTCCATAAATTCTCATTAGTTCCAAGAGATATGGTTTTTTGGAAAAATTTTTTCTTCTGGCTGAATAGTGAACGCAATAAAAAAAGCCGTTGATCCATGGCTATAAAAGATTAAGAAATTTTTTTTTGCTATGAGATTTAATCTACATGCACTCGGAAGCCGATGTTTTCAAATGTTACCAAGAAACGTCAAGCCATAAGATTGCAGGGACACGATGAAGGTTGCGGATGTCATAAAGGCAGCAATGCAAATAAGACGTCAGATATACGTTCCTTTCATAACTAGGGGCTGGTGTGTGAGGAGTTGTCTGTTTATATGCGAACTCTTCCGATGCGATTGTCCTCTAGTGTGACAGATATGCAAAACATCGCATACTGTAACCTGTTTATAATGCAAGTATGTATCTATCAAGGAAGTCAATATTTTAGTATTCACCGTAAGATATTTGAAATACTGCAATATAGTACAGAGGAAGACCGAGGAAGCAAAACTGAGGATGACGCTAGTTCGATGTAACATCCTGGGTTAACCAGAGTTTCTACTACTCCAGACTTGAATCGATTTGGTAGTAATTCGGTCTGGAAGAATAAAGATTATGAGGTGATAACTTGGCATACTACGTCAAGATCACGTCAAGCATGAGCCAAAAATATATGAAATCCCTCTAACGAAGCTACGAGTGTAGTTAAACGCATGGCGTAGGATAATACTAAACCGTCCTAACGTAAAAGATTATGAGATTTTAAAAAAGTCGCTTCTCTTAACGTGAAAAAGCGCCATCGGTTGTTGTGGATAGGAAAAGTGAATTGCCAAGTAACAACTGATGATATCATCATAGAAGTGTTCGTTTTTTGAAGTCATATTCCCATAAAGTGGCGAATACTAGTTTTCCAGCAAAGAAACATGCTTCTGCTACAACAACACTGAATATTTTTCAATTTTAAATGTACGAAGCGATTCATCATTTTTTAAAGTCGCCATCTTCGTCAAGGCGATTTCGCGACGACACTGACGCCTTTCATATGAACACTCTCAAATTTTATCACCTATGATAGTGATTCGCATGAGCGAATGAGATCAGGAGTAACAATAGATGATAAGGAAGTGAACTGAGTCTGAAACTGCCCCGAAACGAAAATCGTGCTGATTGAACACATATCGGTGGACTGAC